ACGCGCTTGTGGGGGGGGTGGGGGGGGGTGGGGGTGGGGGGGGGGGGGGGGGGGTGGGGGAGAAAGTTTGGGGGTGAGGGGTGGGAGAGGGAGAAGGGACTTACATGTGAAACAAGCTTGTTCCCTAACTAGAACTAATAAATAAATTTTTAAAAAAATGTAAACACTTCTAAAGCACTATATTGTAGGCCAAGCATTATTCTCAGTTTTCTAGGTACTCCCTAACTTAACCATCAACATCCTACATGAAAAGTAGGAGAAACAGCTAGGCAGAGGAAGCAGAGCAACACACCCTTGTCAGTTGTGCAGCTGGCTTTGAATTCAGGAGCAGGAACAGGTAGCAGTCCTCAGAGCATAATGACCGACCTTATTCTTTATCAAGATTAGGAAAAAACCTGTCCATCATTTCAGGAACTGAGACTCTATGGTTCTTGATAACGGGGGTGTGACTGTGGCAGATAAAATCCTGAGACAGTCCCTAAGGCTCCCCACTGCTGGAGTAGCTCCCTAACGCCAACACTAACGTGGGAGCTGCTGTGAGGGATGTGAGAGTAAAGCCTTCACAGCAAGTAACCTTAAGTCAGGGCGGCTATGACATCGTTAGGAGACGATAAATAACAGTAATAATAATAATAAAATTACTATAATAAAAGGTATCAGGCTCTTCATGAAAAGGGTTTTTAGTATAAAAGGAGTTAAGACATCAGAGAAGTTTTCCATTACATCCTCTAAAGAGGAGGAGATGGCATACAGGATATGTTAGGGTTCCCTGCAAGGAAATGGGCCTTCAAGAGTCAAATTATGTCAATACCAGCAAGCCTGAAAGATGATTCCTTGCCAGCACTGCCAGATGGTAACAGTCTGGCCCACACTGTGGTTTCAGTTTTGTGACCTGTCTGGACTTTTACTTAAGAACTGTGAGCTCATAAAATGGTGATGTATTGAACCATCAAATTTGTAGCAACAAATTACTCAAGTTCTTAGAAATAAAAAAGGTTTAACTACTTTTGTCATAATCCACTATATTTTAGTGCTTGGTTATTTAATATAAACAAAATTCGTACTTATTAAAACATCACAATATGTTTATATTTAGTCAGTTCTTTTGAGACATGGTCTCACTAGACAGGCCAGGCTGGCCTGGATCTCTAGGTCTTAGCCTCAGAAGTGCTGTGATTACAGGCATGTCCCTGATTACAGGTATGTCCCGCACACTTGGCTTTATATTTGTGTATGTGTGTGTTCACGCGCGCTTGGGGAGGCCAGAGGCTGATGTCAGGACCTGCCCTTCATTGCTCTACCTTATTTCCTGTGGCAGGCTTCTTAATCAAATGTAGAGCTCAGTGACACAGGTAGTCTTGCTGGTCAGCTTGCTCTGAGGACTGCATCTCCACATTCTGAGGCTGGAATTACAGGTGGGCCATCACACACACCTGACATTTATTTGGTTTCTAGGATTCAAACTCCAGCCCTTAAGCCTTCACAGCAAGTGCTTTAAATGCCAAGCCCTCTCTCCAGCCCCTGGGTTTATAATTTAGAGGCTTCTAAACAGTTACTTAAGCAGAATTTTAATTTAAAAGTTTAGTTTGGAGCCATTGATGACTTAGTAGTTAAATATCTATCACCCACATGGCAGCTCACAACTGTAAACTCTAGTTCCAAGGGATCAGAGGCCCTACACCTGTGGTACACATATATACATGAATGCAAAACATTCATGTACATAAAATTTTAAAAAATCTTCTACAAAGTAATGTTATATTTTTATGGAAAACAGAGATATGAAATATTCAAGAGTGTGTGCCCTTTCCTTTGAACAAACTGCTTTAAAAGCGTCCTTTAATGGAAAATTGAGTACTTTTACAATCAGAATGTATGTCTGAACATTATTAAATGCCTTAATAACGTCAAATTCTTTTTCTCCTTAAAGATTGATCTTTAAAAACTTTTATTACGCATGTGTGATGGGGTAGATTTCTGCATGTGTGTAGAGTGACTGCGGAGGGCAGAAAAGCACACTGGATCCCCTGGAACTGGAGCTAGAGGTGGTTGGGAGCCACCTGACAAGGTGATAGGAACTGAACTCAAGGCCTCTTTATAAGATCAATACACCTTAACTTCTGAGGCCACAGACAAGATTAAATAACCTTTTCTAAAAATAAAACGTTAGGTACATTTTATGCCATGTTATGTGTGTGCGCACGCTGAGTGCATGCGTGCATGTGTGTGCACACATGTGCCACGGTGCATACACGGAGGTCAGAAACAACTTCTCTTCCACTATGGGGATTCTGGGACTGAACTCAGGTCATGAGGCCTGGCAGTAGGCACCTTCATGTACTGAGCCACCTCACTAGCACAATCCTGTTCTTTAATGTTAAAACTAACCAAGCTTTTCTGGAAAAGGAGGAAAAGATGTTGCCAACTCCGGTATTTGTGATTAACATAATGGCTTTAATACACCACAACTGGAGAAAGGAGGCTACACTTTGCCTTTGCTTTGCCAATGCTTTTAATGGGCTCACTTACAGGGCACTAATGAAGGCTAAAGGGGCATGGATGACTGTGTAACAGTGGCAGCATTGCAAAGTCCCACCCAATCAGTGACAACAGTCTCTCCACATCACCATTTCTGACTGGCTCTCCACAGCACAGCCAAGGGTAATGACATGAAACAGCTTCTCCCCCTTGTGGGAAGATCAGACACAACACCACATTTGTATAGTGTTCCTTCTCTCAGCACTCTTCGTGAGATAATGGCTCATTATGTAGCCACGTCTGGCCTCAAACTCTCCATTCTCCTGCCTGAGCCTCCTGAGATTTAGAAGTGTGCATCAAATGGACATCTTTAAGGCCCCGAAATACCCGTATCCTAAGAGCTTTCTGATATTGTCCTAGGATTTGACACTGCTACCAGTAACACAGCCTACTCTAGTAACACATACTCTAGTATGTCTCATCTACTATGACTATCACTTTCCCATGTAAGCTGCAAGATGTGTGAAGGAGAGAAACATGTTTTATTAAGCATTTATCCTATCACCTCCTGTGCCTTGCACAAAGTAAGCAGGCAAAAAATAAAGAATGAAGAAGCCCTGGCCATAGAAGATGTGTTTAAGAATGTAGTTTTCTTCAAATGAACAGGTAGAAGCATGCCCTCTTCCTTCAATCTCCATTTCTTTGTTTAGTAATCAGTAGTTAAAGTTTGGTTGTTGATTACTTTTTCCTAAACACTGAAGATTCTCTGGTACAAAGTCCTGGCCATTAGCTGGAAAATTCTGTAACTCTGGGTCCTGATCCATAGACTGGAGAATAAGTACACGATGATTAAGTGAAGTAACAGATACAAACTCAAGAGTGCTTGGAATATACCGTTGGTCAATGCATAATGAATGCCCATGTGAATTCAATTAAGATAGACAGGTTTATAATCAGACAGTCCGTTCCCACTCACACATTCAGTAATCCAGCGGCAGGCTTTTAACCACAAAATAACTGATATGCCAAAATGTGCATCGAACAAAAGTCATCAGTGAGACCAGCAGGGAGCACCCTTAGCACTCTCAGACCAGCAGGGAGCACCCTAGCACAGTTAGGTTCCCTCCAAGCTGCCCCAGCGCTTATTCCAAGTGATAGCTTCCCATGTTGGACAGGCTCAGTTACATTTCCTTCTCCCCACCTTCCCCTTTTAGTTAAGTAAGAATCCCTTCTACTGTCTTTACTGTGGGCTTACACATTTTAGCTGATTCTCAAAATGAAGACACGCTGTGAGGGTCCTCAGCACACCCTGAGTAAGAAGCTGTCTAGCTTAAATTCCTAACCTTGGATTGTTATTCTTTTGCTTAGGTGCCAAATGTTATTCCTTTGCTTAAATTAGAAATAAAAGAAGAGGGGGCCGCAAGATGAGACATGAGACTATTAGACATATTAACCAGTTTATTGTAGGCCCGGCAGAGTAGAGAGACTAAGAAAGAAGAGAAACAGGGTTAATGGCTGACCGCCATGGCCGGTCGCCAGAGAGAGAG